CAAAAAGCCTCCCCGTCCTCTCAGCACTCAACCCTCATACAGCAGATTCCAATTCTGTGCAGTGCCTCTCAGAGAAGCTACACTTTTCCCGTTCTTGATTTCTTCTGATCTAAATATTGGTCGCTTTCTTACTCCTGAAGCAGAAATACGACATTCCGCTGGCAGTCACTGGTTAGGGTGCACATTTTAGTTCAATCAGCTAACAAGGCGCGTTGGAGACTGGTGGGAAAGTAGGAGACCCACCTTAGTTGTTAGATATGAATCCCAGCACGGGTAGCAGAAATGATGATCACACTGCAGGCTCGTTAAAACTGCGCGACAGCAGCAAATCGCGCATGTGTCGATGATATTCGTTGGGGAACTATTGGTGCCACTGCCGCCACTCGCACAGTGAGTATCCCTAAACGGTGAAATGATATTCGCATCCAGAAAAAACGCATCCATATCAGTACTTTCGTAAAACCTGCAAAAGACGCCCGTAACTTGTGGCAAATTACGAAATGCAGATTATACGATGTGTGGCTGGTTCGAATTGCATTCCAACAAATCAGACGACGGACACCAGCAAAGTGTGCAGACCAATGCAGATCTGCACACTTTTGCTGGTGCCCGTCTTCTGATTCGAATGACAAAAGAAAGATATGCACCTCATACTGCCTCGCATGATGTGCCAAAATAGCTCATGTGCGATATGAGAAATATCGGAAAAATTGAATAAAAAGAAGAAAAGTCAAGAAACACACGCAAAATGTTTTTGGTAAACACAAGGCAAAACTTCCCTCCCCAAACCCTAATATTTTATGATATGAACCTCTCTCCAGCTCCTTTCGCCGCAAAACACTGCAGCCCTCGCCAGGCTCTCCCCCCTCAAAACCGTCGTATCTGATAAACATGCGTTGTGCAATCCGATTATTTTCTAGAAATTGATAAGTTTGCACATTTCAGAACAATTTTAGTTACTGCTCGGGGCGAGCGGCTTTCTACTTTTCATGGCACGCCAAGATTTGGGGCTTGGGGAACTGCTAAAATTTTCCGCCTAGGAATTCATTTGAACCGCCACTGGTAACTGAGGGAGAGAAGAGGAAACAGCGACACAGACCTTTCCAATAAACTCTCTTTGTTCCACTTGTAATGGTGCAAAAGTAATCTACATATTGTCGGCGGAAGGCGCAAGACGGCAGCAACGTCATCGATAATTTTATTCATTTCCAGCGCCACCTTCTCCGCATCCAGTATCTGCAAAAACCCATTGCAAATACAGTCCTGAATTTACCCGATGGGGGTAACTCATCGCAAGAACGGGGCGCCGACTGTGAAAAGAGTGCAGCGACATGACGCTGGGCCGCATCGCCGACCAAGCGATGGCCCGCTGAAGATACACAACTTGCCGGCTGGAACTACTGATGGCCGGGAAATGTGGCGAATATTCCGGTATTATCCAAATCCCAGGCAGGAAGGTACTGATGCTTAACATAAACGCTCAATATAAAACCCTACCAAAATGCTTTTGCAGGGAGAGCCACTGGGCCGGTGATCCTCTCAGGAGACGAAATGAACAAACAAAATGCGAAATGAACAAAACCCAAATTACTAAAACTCGGCTCGGCCGATCAATATGCATCCGTTTGCGAATTTGCATGCGTACTGCAAAACTTTTGGGTTTGCACAAGCATCACGTTTTTTGTCCAGACAAGATTTTAATTTTTGCTGGCAATCATCAATTCGGCATCTCGTTTCTTACTGATCATCATGAACCCCAATAAATTCCCTCCCAAAATTCTCACCCCTGGCTCCAGTTTCTATCTCCAAGCAAGATCTCGGCTCCAACCTAGTCAGTGACTCCAAACTCTCCTTTCTGTCTCGTCTCCCCGATACTCTCTTCTGCCACTCAACCTAGTCTACGATCCGAGAGGCCAAAACACAACCAAGCCGGTCCAGTCGCCAACAGCTGTCAGCGTGAATTAGTAACCGTTTCCAGCATCAAGTAAGCTGCTCACAGGCACCCAACTTTTGTCTTCGTTAGCAACAGGGCATGTTCATGATGTGTGGGCTGCTTTCAGTTCTATTCAACTCTCAAATATTTTCAGCTCCCGTTTTTCTGAGTTTTTTAATTCGCCTGAATTCGCTGACCAAATGCGCCATGCTAACCTCTTCTTTCTGTATTCGTTCGTTCAGCTGGCCCTTCCCCGCTGTAACACAAAGCAGTGGTGCACTGTATTTCCTTGCCCCTTGCTTTTCATGGGGCCGTGCTCATCCCTCGAAAGTCGATTGCTCAAGCAATCACGAGACATCCGGTGCCCTGTCAGCGCGCTGGCTTCTGCTCTGCCTCAGGCACACAGCGAAGTTGGGGAGTCTCCCGGGCAGAGGTGGACCGGTATTTAGAGCTTCCCGAGAAATTAGCACTAAACCTGATAGTCAGTGTACTCGTTGTTGTCACGGCTGGTGCGTTCGGTTTTGATGGGAGGGGGGTCCACCACGATGCCGTCGTCGTCCGAATAGGTGGAGGTGCTGTCGCTCTCGGATCCCGAAAACGCGCCATCATCGTCATCCATCGCTGTCTCGTCACTTCCCAGTGACATGCAACGCTCGAACCTCGTTTCCTCGGGAAAAATATCAGCAAGCAACGGTCATGCGAACAACACTACTACCCGCTCCTTCGCCTGCTCGTGCTTTCTTCTGCTGCTGCTGCTGCTCCGCAAGCAACTGAGACAACGGCCCGCCGCTCTGCGCTTTCGATCAACTAACAAAAACGCCGTGCCTGAAAATCAACGCCTTTTTCAATGCTACAGCTCAATTAGCCACGTTGTGAATACGCAAATTTCTGCTTGCATATGCAAAAAATAAAACCAACGGCAAACAGATGGAAAAATGAGAATTCCGTGGGCAGAAAAGTGATGCGATACCAAAGAAGGCAAACAACTTTTGCACTGTCTTTGTGCCCTTGGCTTCTCGCTCCATCGCTCTTGCATCCACTTCTTTTGGGAGCGGGGAGAAGAGGAGGTCAATGAAGCTGGATAGCTGCATTAAATACTTTATGTCACAGAGGGACAGAAGCTATAAGTGCGCTGCATCGCATTTATCAGAATTAAGATTGATACACTCAGCAAG